CTGGGTCGAAGTTGATTTGTGTTTTTTTATTTTCATCTTGTTTTAAATTACTCCCCCAAGCTTCGTAGGAAATCACACCTCTGCCTTGTTTTCCCCTATTTATCCCGTTGAAAAGTAATTCGCTTCACGTTAAACATTAACAATCATGCATACATTCACAAAAATGTTTTTATTGACAGGTTGCATAAAACTTGTTGCTTTCTTAAATGACACTAACAAATTCAAGATTTGCTTTTAATCATATCGAGGTCATATTTAAGATAAAACGACTCTCATGGCTCAAATTGGTATATTGGAAATTTAGCAAAACTCTTGTCTGATATATTACGAGAAATGATTTGATAAAGATATCACTATAAAAACTATTATTGTCAACACTAAATCAATGTTTTATAAAGGATATTAGCTTATGATTAGCCTTAGCACACTAAAATCACACTGTGATCATCACATTATGATAAAGTTCTGTTCCTAACAATATAGAAGTTATTAACTTTTAAAATGATACATCGGCCTTAATATTACTGTGACGTTATTCTGATGTCATGAAGTATGGAATTACAAGCGATTTTAAATCACAAATTGACCTAAACCGTTAAGGCTGAGAAAATCCCTCGGGAAGAATGACATTTTGTCAAACATGTAATTCAAATTCCCTAGAACCTAAACAATTTCCCTATTTAAGTTAATGATACTTTCCTCCTTGACGAAAGACACCAGGTGGAAGACGTTAAAACAGAGTACTTGTTTGTTCATAGGTATTAACAGTCAGCGGCGTGAGGTTTAACCTAATTCCGGTGGGTGGGTCGGGGGGGGGGGGGCACATGGGTGCACACAATTTTTAATGGGGCACTGAAGGCAAATGACAATTTTTTGTTCATTTCAAGATTGTAAACGGGGAGCGCCGGGCGGGGGGGGGGGGGGGGGGGTATGGCAAGGACATTTGTTGTGGGGGGGGGGGCACAACCCAGTTACACCACTGATAGTACCGGTATGTTTTACTTTTTTTTCAAGAAATGAAAAAGAATTATAACTGTAAATATATGTCAGCATGTTTTTTAATATCCTTCCTTTATCACCATGCAAACGCCGGTCATATTTTACAGCATAACCGGATAATGCGACAATATTATACTTTTATCACACCTGCCTGTGAGTTGCGCAAAAGGAACGTTTTCCCTTTGGAATGTTGTTGTCAGTCCCTCTTTTGGACATGATGCAAACCGCCATGCGAGTGGTCGGTCGGTTTCAGAGTACAGGTTATATTACTGATGAGGCTACCGTGTATACAACCATGCATGCGGTGCTCAACCGGAACCGATTCGCAAGGCTTTCTACCGGCTTCTCCTTACGGGGGAGTCAAAAAAGAAAATGACTGAATCTGAAAATATTAAAAAAAATATTCGGCTTGCTCAATTTCATTATGAAAAAAATGATCAAGTACATCTTATTGACTTTTAACTGTAACATTTCACCTCATTTGCATACTTTATTCCCGTGTTATGTCTAAAACAAGATAAGTTTGCGGTAGCACCATGTGAATAAATCTCTTTTGTGAGTATGTGTGGTTCTGAAAAGAACCGAGGGACTCAACGTTTCGAGCAGTATGCTCTGCCCGTCGTCAAGAGACTGTTATTCACATGGTGCTACCGCAAACCTTTCTTGTCTTTATCTTTCCACCATGCAGACCTTCAAATCTCGCGTTATGTCTATTTGAATAAAAAGATCACAAAAACTCGGCTGTCCACCTCTGATAATTCTACGAACTGTTTAATACACATTGAGTATTATGAAACATGGACGTTTTCCCACCTCGATGAATGAACGAGAACTTACAAAGGATTTTTATATCGCTAACAACATTTCAGAAGAAAAAGAGTTGACTTGTTGACGTAACTGGAGCGCTGGGCCCTAGAAGTCTGGTCTATGTCGGTTGTCAGGCGGTCAAGAGTTCATTGGTCAAGTCCCGAGAGCGTAAGCAATGCCAGAGTAAGGCACAAAGACCGCTCAGTTTCGGTTTGGTTTTCGCTTGATACAGTCAATGACCCTCCTCCCACCCCGATCTCCTATTCACGGTTACTTAACCTTAAACAATGGAGTTTCTGTGATCTTACAGTTATGAATGGTAAAGAGGTTTAAACGAGTTATTATATACATGTAGATATGTGTATGTGCATTATGTGGGACCTTAAATCTCGGATGCGGGGGCTGGGAAGGGTTGGGTTTGAACTCATTGAAGCTCTTTGATTATGATTTAGTAGACTGGATGGTTTAAGCCCAGGGAGGGAAAGGTGAGATTGGCCATTTGTCAAATTATGAGTGGTAGGCCAAGGGTCAGCACAAACGGACGAATTGTAATGATTGATCTGAGCCACTTTCCCGCCATGGGCTCTTGTGCTGCGGATAAGGAAATTATCCACAGCGTTTATATCAGCTTTGAAAAGCGAGGGCGCTTCTAATTGCTGTGAGAAGCGATTGCGCTTCCAATTGTAAGGATATCCGTATATAGTCCCTTGGGACTTGTGAGAAGCGTTTGCGCTTCTAATGGCAGGGATATGATATTAGTCCATGGGGACTTGTGAGAAGCGACTGGCGCTTCTAATTGTTGTAAGAAGCGATTGCGCTTCCAATTGTAAGGATATCCGTATATAGTCCCTTGGGACTAATATAGTCCCTTGGGACTTGTGAGAAGCGTTTGCGCTTTTAATGGTAAGGGATATGATATTAGTCCATGGGGACTTGTGAGAAGCGACTGGCGCTTCTAATTGTTGCGAGAAGCGATTGGCGCTTCTATGACTGTTGCGTGAAGCGACTGGCGCTTCTAATTGTTGGGATATCCGTAGTCCTTTGGGAATTGAAAGTAGCGATTGCGCTGCTCACTGTAGGGATATAGCCGTAGCCTTGTAATGATTGTAACTGTTAGCATGTAAGTTGTAAATATGATTATTCAACCATGCTGGTATGTATACCTGGACCTGGTAAGGATCATAACTTGTATGTAAATTGTACATGTGATTGTTAAACCATGCTTGTTGGACGGTATCAAGCGAATAAATGCTTGCCGAGTGACACAGTGCTTTTCTCCGGTGTGCCTCTTTCACAATGCTGACATATTTTTAAAAATGTTGACAATTTTTTTTTCAATGTTGACATATTTTTTTAAAATGTTGAAATTTTTAAATGTTGACATAACTTTTTAAAATGTTGACATATATTTTTGAAATGTTGACATATATTTTTTAAATGTTGACATACGTTTTTGAAATGTTGACATATGTTTTACAATGTTGACATACTTTTCAAAAAAGTTGTGATGTATTTCATAATGTTGGCAGTTGCCGTGCAGGGTTGAATAAATTCCGTTTTGGCGTGCCATAGTTGTGTAACCGTGTCAGTTATCAGCGAATTCACATGCGGTTCGTACACGCTGTATTAAAATAAATGAAACATGAAGGTTAACTTAAAAAAGGTATTATCTGGTGTATGAAGACTATACAGCAATATGACGACTGGTGGCCTTCAGCCGGAGCCATTATCGAGGACCTTCCCCTAACCGGTTTCAAACCAGACATTATTTTTCCACTATTAAAGCGTGTCTTTTTATTTTGTAAATAAATATACGCTGAACACGCCTTGTAATATTCACTGCACGATTTCATATCTGCCGTTTCTTGGTTAATTTCGCCAACAATGTGGTACAATTAAGTTTCAAGGTTATGAGTGGCCTAGTGTTGCCAAGCCAAACAGGGATGTTACCATAGAATCTTTAGTCTTCTCATTTCAACGCCGACCAAGTGTTACCTTAGCAACAGCATCCACTGTCTGCCACTGTAATCGATATTATTTTGCGTCAGACAACTCATTAGGAGTTATGCTGAAATCACCATAGTGACTAAGCTTTTCAATCCAAGACCAAGTGTTACCTTAGGCCAAAAAAAAAAAGTCTCCGGTTTCTGGTATGGAGCTTGCCCAAAAAGTGGTGCGGCGACGCGGCTTTTTTTTTTTACCTGATTTTTTTGCTTCAAATGTCGGCTGAAGACTGCAAATGGTGCCCGACTAAACTTAGTGCAAATATATGGGAGTCCAGAGAGGCCACATAAAACTTATTCTCGACCATAACCCAATCTAAAAACACGTTAAAATTGTACAGCAGCAGGATTCCAGTCAAACCAGTGAGTTTGGCGGTTTTGAGACATAATCTTTCATTGAAAAAAACTTTTTCATTTTGCCGACGCGCATGGCTACGGCAACGCGCGCGCATATCAGAAACCGGAGACTTTTTTTTTATTGGCCTTAGCAACAAGATCCACTCTCTGCCAACCTCGTGCCCCGTGGGTACGATCTTGCAGCGCCAAGTTGTTTCCCATCATGCCTTGCGCGATCGTAACCCCTGGTATTGTGTAATTTAAATATACAAAAATACGGTACATTATAATTAGGGCTGCAGTTTATCCGTTTTACGTGCCGACGCCATCTTTAATATGTTAAAAGTTGTGATTTTGAAGAATCAATCCTTTCAAACACAACGTTTGGACATTGTGTTAATTAGCAAAGATTTGTATGAAATGTACGTACCCCTTTCATGCCTTTACAACCACAGATACAGGGGTTTTTTTTTTAGCGAAAAACGCGGCTGACATAATCCATATCGTACAGGCTTCACGACTTTTGAATCATAATTTTTTTTTCGTACGTGACGTTACGTGCAAAGCTAAGCACGCGAGCGCCAGCGCATTATGGGCGCGCCTGTCGTGCAATCTTCGAAATGCCCGCGCAGTACGCTGTGAATAGCCATTCAGTGTCATTTACGTCATCATCACAGCCAGGGGTTAGTGTAAGGAACGAGCACGCGCCCCTGGAGTCGAGGTTGACTCTCTGCTGCTGTGATCAATATGTGATTAGCGGTCTTCGTTTCGCATCATTCGATCTTACAATTACAAACACTCGACCTCTGATCATATCGCGCAACTCTGCTGTTGTAATCGTCCTAACGAATCGTCATGTACTTGTTTCAAGTTTTTGGCATTGTGGCTATCACTTCGGCGATCAGTGCTGAATTTAGGTCAGGTTCCTGCCACTCTCGGCTCACCGTCGAATGCTCTTGTCCGCCACAGTGGCATCTGTGGGGGAACGAGTGTTATCGCATCTCTCCTTCACTGCATACTTGGGAGGATGCCAAATCGGCTTGTCAAGGCATAGGCGGTAAGATGGCCACTCCTCGCTCGCTCGAGGAAATGAATTTCATGGCAGAATTGGCACGAAAGGTGGGCAGTAACTACTACGCCTGGATAGCTTGCACTGACATGGAAAAAGAGGGAACCTGGGAGTGCGACGGTCAGGAAGGAGAAGAACCCTTCCTGGAATGGGCTGATGAGCAACCAGATGATGATAGTGGCAACCAAGATTGTGCTGCGATAGCATCGTCATTAGGTGAAAAATTGGATGATGGTGAATGTCGGATATCTACCTGGGCTATTTGCGTTCGTCGAGCTGCTTGCACTCACGGCCTAATCCAGCTCCGTCACTAGTGCATCTCTACCGACACCCACGGCCGCGCTCACAACTCAACCTGCCTCCTCGACCACAGAAACCAGGAGCCTTGTCACCAAACATGTGGCGCCTGTGACTCGGCCTGCGTCGAGGTGCCCAAATGTCACTCCAGGCCTTCAACATCGAGAAAAAAAATGAAAAAAAACTGCAAAAAATATGTCAGCTAAATAGTACTATACAAGCTCGGGTAACAAGGGCATGCAACAGAAATCCTGGTTACTTTCGTATGCATCGGCTTGTTATAAAATGGGACAGTAACGGAGATATCTGCAAACCTGAACTTGAACTTACTAGGGAAATTCCCTGCATCGGGAATGTATAGGGTAACATTGTTTAAGCTCTAAAGAAACTTAACGGCCGGGATGTATAAGAAGTAATCAAGGTAAGCAAATATTTTGTTCTCATTACAAAGGAATTGGAAGAAAATACAATTTAATTGAATAGCTTGCGTTTTCATGTTGCTCTTGTTATTGGTAAACAGACACTGAATTTCTGTGTTATTTATATCAGAACATTACTAAAAGTGTTGAAACTGCGAAATAGCAAGCTTGAAATTATGGGAAAAGTTAAAAAAAAAATTTTTGTTGGTTTAGAGCAAAGTCTGATTGTAAATTGGAATGAAATTATTCGAGATTGATGTGTTTTTGATCGTTGTAGTTTTAAGAACAACATATACATATTAAAGACTTTAGTTGATCGTCATTGTATATCATGCACAAAATTAATTGATATTTTACATTAGGAACGGACTGTCGATTTCAAAATGTAGGTTTTGAGTAACAAACGTCAGCTAAAGAATAATTTTAGTAGAATAGTAGAGTTGACGGCAAATTCGTTGAAAATTTAATAACTTTATGATTAATTGGTTGTAGCTTTCCTGTAAACTGAAATTGAAAATTGAAGTTTGTCAGATCTTTTTAGGCACAGATGCATTGTACATTTACAATTAGGCATAAATGCGGGAGTTTTAGTGCATTTATTCAGTGTTTTCAATGCATACTGTAGTGACTAAGTGTGATTAAAGTTGCATTCGGCGAGGATATTTTAAAGTTTTATCTCGAAAAATAGATTCATTTTCTAAATTGCTATTTTTCTAGCAACAGAAAAGTGTTTCACTTTTGAATAAGACATTGACAGAAAAACAATTCGACTGACGTTAAGTTATTGAATTATTACTTTACGATATCAAATAATTGGCTGCCAGAAATGCCTTTCTCGCGGAGTATGCTAGCCTTGTTCAATGCGGTCTCTCGGCTTTTTGTCGAAGGGAGATAATCGGGCCCTGCACCCACAATCAACGCGGCTACGTGCGTGTACCACCGACCCTTGTCCGTACGACGAACGGTTCGGTACTAACACAACCAGCAAGCACACACACGTGAGTACGGACTGTACGCATGGTGTAAGGCAGTAAATATGTAGGCCTACTGTGTTCTGCGTGTGGGTGTTCGTACGTACGTGTGGGGTACGCGTCGCGTGGCCTGTCGAACGACCGCCTTGTTGGGTCTGCAACTTCCGGGTTTAATGTCTTTCTTTACCTTTTCGTCCAGTTTTGGAAAAAAATGGGCGGGCTTCAGGATATGCGGATATGCCGTGATTATTATGTAGGTCCGTCTTGGACCAATCACATGAAACAACCTTCCCAATAGTATGATTAATTCATTTTTAAGCTGACCAATCGTAAGCTTCACAAAAATCATGTGACGTCGCGCGGCATGCATAATGCATTAGCCATCATGGCGTCTTCCAAGTCTTTTTAGCGAGAGCGAAATGTTCGTCATTTTTTCAACAATTTGACATTGATTCGAGTTTTTCGGCTCGTGTAATGAATCCATTTGAGTGGGCAACGATCGTCTAATGACAGCATTACCTGCAGAATTCGTTGGTGCCTTCAATACTGCTTCGGACAGACTGGGACTGAACGACTTTCACCCACAGCAACGGGCCGCCATTGCAGCGTTTCTTCGCGGATGCGACGTGTTTGTTAGCCTATCGCGGGCTGACCAATGAGAATTCAGAATATACGCGGGGGTGGTACCTCATTACCGTATTAGTTTTGCTGGGTCAACTCAAAACCATCAAGGCGTTGGGTTACGCGGACTAGCTCATGCATGTACTGTGTGTGCATGGCTGTTGTACGAGTACGTGTGTGTACGTGCGTACGTACAAGCATAGCCTCTCGCTGTACAAGTTACTTTCTCACTAGCAGCCTTGCCAAGTTGATTAGGGATTTTCTTTCAGGAGATTTTTTTTATCGGCGAATCGATAAGCCCAACGCCTTGGTCAAGGCTAGAAGTATGCTGGTTCCTGCCTCACAATCAGTATCGATAGTGTGCGGACCGGGAGCCAGCCTGCTCGCAAAGCGGCACCGTTTGTGCCCAACACAAAAAGGAAGGCGTCCAAAAAGGAAGGTTTTTGGTTGGAATGAAGCATTCAAGTTAAACATTTATCAATAGAATAAATAAAATGTCACTTGTTGATGCACGGGGAATGCAACTTTAACATGTATGATCGATGTGAGTACTAATTTTGAACGTCTTGTGTCTGTTAAAGATCCATTATATATTCAGGTGTTTTTGAGTTTAATAGCAGGAAGCTAATAGATGTTGTGAATCAGTTTGACTCAGTTTGAATCAAGTTAAAAAAATAATGCACATAATTTGCGTATCAGCAAAGGTCTCGGGATCGTAAGGCCAAAAAAAAATATGTCTCCGGTTTCTGGTATGGAGCTTGCCCAAAAAGTGGTGCGGCGACGCGGCTTTTTTTTTTTTTTTTTTACCTGATTTTGTTGCCTCAAATGTCGGCTGATGACTGCAAATGGTGCCCGACTAGACTTAGTGCAAATATATGGGAGTCCAGAGAGGCCACATAAAGCTTATTGTCGATCATAACCCCATCTAACAACACGTAAAAATTGTGCAGTAGCAGGATTCCAGTCAAACCAGTGAGTTTGGCGGTTTTGAGACATCATCTTTCATTGAAAATAAAACTTTTTCATTTTGCCGACGCGCATGGCTACGGCGACGCGCGCGCATACCAGAAACCGGAGACTATTTTTTTGGCCTAAGCGCTGAAATATCCTGAAATCAAACCACATTGGCGGAGTCATGTTGGAACAATATTTATGGATAATGTAATATCAACAACTCTACCATCCTACCGAAAAAGTCAGTGATGAACATTATAATGTAAACGAATCTTGATAACCTCATAGTTTGACACCCCAATAGAGAGGGTGTATGACCCCGCCCCCTCTGCTAATTGGGACCTATTTTTGTGATTTTATTTCAGGGTAAAGCATTCAATATTCTTCAAAGATTTCAAAATATTTTGGGACGTACATTTTTGATTTAAAAATCTAGTAATCAATAGAAAACAATTATACAGGCATAACATCTAAAAGATTGACAGTAACGTCCATCGCCCGAATTTTCTTATTTAAGGAAACTTGTACAGATTTTACTTATGCCACTATTATTATTATTGTGACTGCCCCTGTGGTTTTGAAAACTGATTTTAATTTGGAAGCAAACTCCCGTCTTGACAAGTGCAAAACCACATTTGGAACATTTCAAATTGTGTACGTGTTAAAATGTGATCCCTACATAAACGTCAAGCTCACAACTCTGTATCTGTATACCTTGTAAGAATTGAGGTCCTAATAAAATAGAATTTGGTGTTGTAGTTACAGAACACGAAGACGTCACAGTTTCTTTTTATTTAAAGTCAACTCAAGGTGATCTATGGGAAACGGGAAGGGCGTGGTCAGGTGACTTGTCTTAGACTGTGATGGGATGTACTGTCATGCATGAACAAAAAAAACATTGACGAAGATTGGCGGCCCTTTAATTTGAAATAAATAACTTCTTTAGAAATTTCCCTCCCCGACAATAATTTGAACAGAATATTTTTCTATCCCATCGGCATCAAATTTGCGAGAAGGCACTTTCATGGCATGGTAACTATTCAAAAAGGGCACTTCAAAGATACCAGCAGTAAGCGCATTCCGCACGCCATCGTTTACCCCGTATCAGCGGAGGGCGATCCCTTGTAAACACGGACCATCAACTTTGAAAACCGAAATGCGAGGGAGGGTGGGGATAGCCTGACTATAGGGGGCGCTGTTCCAACATGCATGTACGCATTTGGCGGGCACGAGATGTCTAAAATCATATAAATTTATGTAGAATGGCTTTTGGGATATCAATAATTTGGTGGTGTAACACCACTTAATGATATATCCCAAAAACCATTTTACGTACAGTGGAACTAACATATTAAAGTTGTAGGTAACTTCGCCGAAATTAATTTGCACTACCGAATATCATTGGCTTACCCGCCCAAATACAAGAGGGGACATATTCCCTCTAAAGTCAGATTACATCACAGGGGATAAGTCCCTGGTCAGATTGACCCGGATGATCCGGGTTCTGTTTGGCCTGACACCTTTCCGGGTCAAACGTCTTTCTGGGTCAAAGTGAGGCTTCTGTTGTTCATTTACCTGGTTATTTTCAGCCAGCAATAGAGGGCGGTCGACGACTGGATCAAAACCCCATTGACTACCAAATATTTCCAATTTGAAATGGCTCCCATCAAGCTGTTGTTAATATATCTTTGTTTAGACTTAAGGATAAGTTTGGCAAAATGTGGTTGAATGTATTATACAATCTTAGGGTTAAAGACTTGCCACCAAAATATCTTTATTGAAATTTGTCTCTATTAGACCCCACGTTGATTAAATTCTAGCTTTTGAGCACCACCGTCAGTCTGCTGTCTTCCAAACTGATCACAGTTGTGTACAAAAACTTGGTCACCAAACTATAAGGTACACAAAATTACAAGGTCATGACTAGCCTCTTTTGTTGTAGTCGGCCAGCAAGTAATATGCCAAGTATTAAACCACTCGCTTGCAATACAGTCCCCACACCACGCTTAGCATTAAAATTGACTACTGTTGATTCGAACAAAACAAACCAGAAGTGTTACCATAGAGACTAGTATTTGTCACTGCCCTCATAACGCAAACAATTTAATGTAACCATAGCAACAAGATACATTGTGCGCCGCCTTGATCAATATTATTTTGTGTCAGACATCGCAGGGAGTTTCTGCCGCGATCACCAGTCTTCATTCGCATCATTCGATCTCACTGTGGAGACACTCGACATAAGCACTTTGGAACACAGCTGATTCTCGTTAAACTCTGCTGACATCGTCCTATACAAACGCATTACAATGTACCTGTTTCAAGTTTTTGGCATTGTGGCTATCACTTCAGCGATCCACACTCAATTTGGGCCAGGTCGAATGCTCTAGCCCGCCACAGTGGCAACTGTGGGGAAAAGAGTGTTATCGCCTCACTCCTCGGATGGCACAAACTTGGTATCAAGCCAAGTCGGCTTGCCAAGATATGGGTGGCAAGATGGCTGCTCCTCGCTCGCTGGAGGAAATGAATTTCATGACAGATAAGGCACGAGAAATAGACGACACTGGCGACTACTTCACCTGGATTGCTTGCAATGACAAGGAAGTTGAAGAAACCTGGGAGTGCGACGGTCAAGAAGGACGTGAGCCTTTCCTGGAATGGGATCTAGCTAGTGGGCAACCTGATTGTAATGGCAATCAATATTGCGGCGTTTTGGCGGAGAGATTTAATAACAAAATGGATGACCTCGGTTGTGAAAATACGTATCCCCATTTGACTTTTTGCATGCGTCGAGCTGCTTGCACCTACGGCCTCATCCAGCTTCGTCACTAATGCATCTTTACCGACACCAACGGCCGCGCTCACAACTCAACCTGCCTTCTCCACCACAGAAACCAGGAGCCTTGTCACCAAACATGTGGCGCCTGTGACTCTGCCTGCGTCGAGGTGCCCGGATGTCACTCCTTCATTGAGAAAATAAAAGAACTGAAGAAAATATGCCGGCTTTACAATACTGTACAAGCTTGAGTAACAAAATGAATGACGCTGGCTGTGACAATACGCTTAACGAGAATGACATTAAATTGTGTAGCATATGTCTCCTCGCGTAGACCAAAAGAAAAATGGTGCCAAATTATGCATGACACGACATTTTAGGGACTAAAGACTTGTCGCCAAATATTCGTATTGCAATTTGTCTCTGATCATACTGTAATTCATTACGCTTATGATGGCCACAGAAAGCCCAATGCGTTCCCTAATGCTCTCAGTTGTGAACAAAAACTTGGTCACCAATAATACGAGACAAACAATTAAAAGGTCATGACTAGACGCCTCTCTTATCGGCCAGCACTGAAGCAATATGTAATGCCTCGCTTGCAGTGTAGTCCCCACACTTAATGAATAGTTACACGTACTTCAATCTGATCGGTTGATTCGGGTGGCAAACAAAAGCGTTACCATAGAGACTTGCAGCAATATCATTGTGCGTGCCGGCGGAATCTATATTTTTTGCGTGATACGCAATATCCTCTTTTGTTGTAGTCGGCCAGCAAGCAATATGCCTATTAAATCACTCGCTTGCAACACAGTCCCCATATCACACATGAATTTTCACCTCAGGTTGATCTGGATTGTTGATTAAAACAGAAATGTGACCATAGAGACTATTTTTTGTCATTGCCCTCATAATGCCAATAATTAAGTGTGACCATAGTAACAAGATGCACTGTGTGCCACCTTGATCAGCACGTGCCTCTGACAACTCAAGAGTTTCTGCCGCAACCACCAGTGTTCATTCCCATCATTAAATCTCATTCTTGAAGCACCCGACGCTTGATGAGTGGGGAACATCTGATTCTTGTTAAACTCGCTTTATTAAAACGACTCGCCATGTACTTGCTTCAAGTTGTTGGCATTGTGGCTGTCTCTGCAGCGATCAGTGCTCAATCTGAGTCAGGTTCCTGCCATTCGCGGCTCACTCTTGAATGCTCTTGCCCGTCAAAGTGGCAATTGAGGGAAAAAGAGTGTTATATCCTCACTCCTTCACCGCATACTTGGAATCAGGCCAAGTCGGCTTGCCACGGTATGGGTGGCAAGATGGCCGCTCCTCGCTCGCTCGAGGAAATGAACTTTATGGCAGATATGGCACGCAAGGTGGACAGTGACTACTACGCCTGGATTTCTTGTAATGACAAGGAAGTTGAAGGAACTTGGGTGTGTGACGGTCAGGACGGAAGTGAGCCCTTCCTGAAATGGGCTGATGGGCAACCAGATGATAAGGGCAATCATCAAGATTGCGGTCAAATTGCGGCTCGTTATCGTGACAAGATGGACGACGTTGGCTGTGACAATATGCATCCCCGTTGGACTGTTTGTGTTCGTCAAGCTGCTTGCACTTACGGCCTAATCCAGCCCCGTCACTAATGCATCTCTACCGACACCCACGGCCGCATTCTTAATCCAACCTGCCTCCTCGAACCCAGGAGCCTTGTCACCGAACGTGCAGTGCGCCTGTGACTCGGCCTGCGTCGAGGTGCCCGGACGTCACTCTTTGTTTATCATGGCGAGCAAATTGAAGAACGGAAGCAAACGAGCCAGCTAACTTAACAATACTGAACAAGCTCGGATAACAAGGACGTTATGTCAAAACAAAACCTGGTTATTTCCATATGAGTCGGCTTGTTATAAATAAATGGGATATTAACGGAGAAGTCTGCAAACCTGAACTTGAACTCACTGGGGGGGGGGGGGGGATCGGCTTTTTACAACAAAATTTACATTCAGTGCATCGAAAATGTATTGGTAACATTGTTTCCGCTCTAAAGAAAAAAAACCAGCCATGGTGTATATGAAGTCAACAAGGTAAGCCAATCTTTTGTTCTGATTACAAACGAGAAAGGAATTGGAATAAAATAGAATTTAATTGAATAAATTGCGTTTTGCATTTCGCCCTTGGAATATAATGCGGTTAAAAAACGCTGAGTTTTTGTGTCATTTATATCAATACGGTACATAGAGCGTTTAAATTGCGTTATAGCAACCTATGAAATATTATGATAAAACGAAACATTTTTCTTAAAGATAAGTTGCTTTCGTGGATTAAAAAGCTATGCAATTTACTTGGCTTAGAGCAGAGTTGGCATGTAAATTCGCCTGAAATTATATATGATTGATAGTTTAAAGATAGGTCTGAGAACAAATGTACAAATTCAATATTTTGGTGTTTGATCGTTGTTGTATATCATGCACACATTGAGATTTTACGTCAGCAACCGACTGTTGATTTGTTTATGAGAAACAAACGTTCTCTAAAATGTATTTATTGGTAAACAGACACTGAATGACTGTGTCATTAATCAATACATTACCAAAAATGTTGAAACCTCGTAACGGCAATCTTACAATTATGGGCAGGGTTATGGGCAAAGAAAGGAGGAATGAATTTTACTTGGTTTAGAGCCAAGTCCGCTTGCAAATTTGCCTGAAATTATTTGACTTTGATGTGTTTTGATCGTTGAAGTTCTTTGAACAAAATGTACATATTAAATAGTTCGGTGTTTAATCGTTATTGTATATCATGCTCAAATTGAGATTTCACATTAGGAACGGACTGTTGATTTCAAAATGTATTGCCAGCTCGTTGAAAATTTCATAATATTATGATTAATTGAATGCGGCTTTCCTGTGAATTGACATTGAAAATTGACGCCAGATATGTAGTCAATTGTTAGGCGCAGATGCATTGTACATTTGCAATTTGGCCTAAATGGTGAGTGATAGTGCATGTATTTAGCATTCAAGTTGCATTCGGCGAAGCTATTTTAAAGTGGAATCCCGAAAAATAGATTCCTTTTCTAAATTGCTTGTTTTCTAGCAAAAGAAAAGTTATTCACTAGTGAGACATTGCAGAAAAAAATCTATGAGTTGTTGCTGTATGATTTCGAATACTTGGCTGCCAGACAAAAATTCCGTTCTCACGGAGTACGCTGGTTCCTGCCTCACAATCAGTATTGATACTGTACGGACCGGGAGCCAGCCTGCTCTTAAAGCGGCTTCGTTTGTGCCCAAATTAAAAACCTTTTGTCAAATGGTTATAGACGTCCAAAAAAAAGAAGGAATGTTCTTGGTTGTAATGAAACATTCACGTTTTAACATTTATCAAAAGAAAAACACTAATTTGTGTAAACACGAGAAATGCAAATTTAACATGAGATCGATGTAAGTACCAATTTTGAAAATATTATGTCTGTTAAGACCAACTTGATTTTCAGGTGTTTTTGAGTTTAATAGTAGGAAGTTAATAGATATTTTGAATCAGTTTTTACTCGATTTGAATCACGTTTGTAAAAAAAAGATTGCACCCACTTTTAGTATCAGTAAAGTCTCATAAGTGCTGAAATAGTTTGAAATACACAATCATTATGGCCAAATCATGTTGGAAAAATTATTTATGCCACTATTGTGATTGTGATTGCCCCTGTGGTTTTGAAAACTGATTTTTAAAGTGGAAGCAAACTAACGACTGGACAAGTGCAAACCACTTTTAGAACCTTTCAAACTGAGTGGGTGTTAGAATGTGATCGCTACATAAACGCCAGGCTCACAGCACTATATCGGCATACTTCTTCAAAATTTGGTTCATAATAAAATAACATTTTGGTGTTGTAGTTACAGAACATGAAAACCTCACTGTTTCTTGTTATTTATAGTCAATCAAAGGTGGTAGGAAACGGGAAGGGCGTGGTCAGGTAAATTGTCTTAGACTGTGATGGGTTTTCGTCATACATAAAAAAAAACATTTGACAAAGAGTTGCGGCCCTTTAAACCACATTGGAAATAGATAACTTCCTTAGAAATTTCCCTCCCCGATAATATTTTGAACAGACCATCTTTCTATTCCATCGGCATCAAATTCGCGAGAAGGCACTTCATGGCATATCAACTATTCAAAAAGGGCACTTCAATGATACCAGCAGTGTGTACATTCCCCACCCCATCGTTTACACCGTATAATAATCATACTATACACAGCGGAAGGCGATATCTTGTAAACGCGGACCATCAACTTTGAAAACCGATAAGCGTGGGGGATAACGTGACTATAGGGGGCGCTGTTTAAATTCGCATGTACGTATTTGACGGGCGCGTTTTGTCTCAGAGCATACGAATTTACACAAAATGAGTTTCTGGATATCCTTCACCAAATATTTGTTTCTTAGTTGCCATACTGTTACTCTAGCTTATGCATGCCACAGAAAGCCCATTGCGTTCCCCAATGATTTCAGTTGTGAACAAAAACCTTTACAAGGTCATGACTAGACGTCTCTCTTATTGGCCAGTAGGCAATATTAAACGTCTTGCAAGCAGCTTAGTCCACGCACTTAATAAATTAGCTACACGTACTTCACTCTGGACGGTTGATTCGAGTTAGCAAACCAAAGCGTTACCATATAGAAACTCGCAACAATATTGTGTGCCGGTTGGATCACAATTATTTTACGTGATAGGCATTATTAGCCTCTTTTGTTGTTATGTCTATTAAACCACTCAGCAATAGAGAGAGTGTATGATCCCACCTCCTCTGCTATTTTGGGATCTCTACTTCTAGATTTCTTTTCAAATTAAAAGTTAAATATTTCTTTAAACATTTCAAAACATTTTGGTTCTCACGTCATTGATTTGAAAATCTCGTTATCTATAAAACAAAATTGTTAACGATCTCGGCATTGTATGAAAAACAGTGTAAGTTACATTGATCGCACGTATTGTTTTCTAGGTTTTAAGGCTGTACTGCTCCTGTGGTTTTGAGGATTCAAATTAGAATGTTCGGACCACATTTTGAACATTTGTGGATGTTAAAATTTACTTCACATGATCACTACATATACGTAAGGCCCAAAGCTCTGTAGCTTTATACACATCTAGTTCATAATAAAATAAAACTTGGTGTTGCAGTTAATGGCGCGATTAGTTGGCTTATCTGGACTGCATGTGGTGGGAAGTACCGTCGCACACAGATAAAAAAATGACGAAGGATGGCGGCCCCTTAAACCACTATTGAAAATTGTGTTTATAAATGCCTCTTCTTGATAATACCATAAACAGAAAAGTTAATTTCTATCCCTGATCGGCGTCAAATTTGCGAGAAGGTACTTCATTAAAAAAAAAAAAAAAACCACTTCAATGATACAAGCAGTGGGCTCTTTCTTAATGGGCTAACATCCAGTGGGTAAGGGGGTATTTCCCTTCCTATTCCAATATTTTTTTACGAGACAGTGAACTATATTTCTGTAACGTCTCGCGCACATCGGCAATTGTACCGCCATGAAGCGCCACCTATATATCCAATAGTGCCCATTATCATCTGTTTTGAACAACGCCCTCACAGGAAGATGATGTCCACCCTGCCTCTTACATAGGGAGATGGTGTCCACCCCCCCCCCCCCATGAAAAAGCCTTGTCAACCTTTTAGCACGCACGATCTACCGACGCACAATATTTATGTGCCCTTTTTACGTCTACCCCCGGTACCCCACTCCAAACGACCTTGCTACGCGCCTGCTTTCTCCCCGCTTTAATTTAACTGGTAATTTTTCAAGATCACTCTTTCTCATCCTATGTACGTGTATTTATTTATCTATTAACTACGTGTATTTGTTTTTAATCGTGTCGGTTTGTCTTGAACAAATATAATTGCGTATTATGTTAATATTATTAAATGTATAGTGACTCTTGGCAATAATTTATTCTTTATATTTATATATAAACGATTGACCTTTTTATGTGATGTTTATAGTCAGACCGAGGAATCAAGTTTCATATCAACCCAAGATGAAAATAAAAAAAGATATTTATTTATCATTTTCCTTTCCGAGAAGGGGGGTTCAAAGCCATTTCAGAACAAGTGGGAAAGGAACAATTGTCGATGAATGTCACCGTGTCGTTTAACTGTGTCAGTGTATTACCGAATTAGCATACTTTTAATACGCTCTGTAATTAAATAAAACATGAAGGAGCAATTCAAACGTTACTATCTGCCACGTCATGCTAAATTTGGCAAACGATGCGGCACAATTCAGTGTACAAGGTCGTGACAGGCCGATTAATTTGGTCCCCGAGTCCGCCTGCAAGCGTATCAAATGCCTCGCCTAAAGGCTAGCCCTGCACCTAATAAATTGTTAAACTCATTTAAGTGTTACCGTGGATACTAATAGTTTTCCCATCGTCTTTTAAATTTTTAAACAGACGCATTACCACGGCAACAATATATCTTGTTGATACTCATATTTTGCGTCGCAGAAAAGGTCACCTCTGCCGCGACTATCACTTTTCATTCGCATCGTTCGACCTCGATAGTTAAACTGCCTTGACGGGTTTATAGCAAACAGATCCTCTCCAAACCATCATCTGAACGAGGCATCATGTACTTCTTCAAAGTTTTTGGCATTTTAGCAATAACTTCGGCGATCAATGCTCAATTTGAGTCAGGTACATGTCATTCCTGGCTCAATATTGAGTGCTCTTGCCCGCCAAAGTGGCAATGGTGGGGAAAAGACTGTTATCGCCTCACTCCTCAGGTAGCGCAAACTTGGGATCAGGCCAAGTCGGCTTGCCAAGACATGGGTGGCAAGATGGCCGCTCCTCGCTCGCTTGAGGAAAGGAACTTCATGGCTGACATGGCACGAAAAGTGGACAGTAACTTCTTCGCCTGGATTTCTTGTAATGACAAGAAAGTTGAAGGAATTTGGGAGTGTGACGGTCAGGACGGTGGTGAGCCCTTCCTGGAATGGGCTGATGGGCAACCAGATAATAAGGGCAATCAAGATTGAGGTCAAATTGCGGCTCGTTATGACAAGATGGACGACGTTGGCTGTGACAGTATGGATCCCCGTTGGACTGTTTGTGTTCGTCGAGCTGCTTGCACTTACGGCCTAATCCAGCTCCGTCACTAATGCATCTCTACCGACACCCACGGCCGTGTTCTCAACTCGACCTGCCTCCTCAAACTCTTCCAGGAGCCTTGTCACCGAACGTGTTATGAAGGTGCCGGGATGTCACTCCTTCTACATCGAGAAAATTTAAGAACTGAAGCAAAGTTGCCAGCTAAACAATAATGTACAAGCTCGGTAACATGGACATGTCAAAACAAAACCTGTTTTTTCCGTTTGCATCAGGCCTTGTTAGAAATACATGGGTCATTAACGGAGAAGTTTGCAAACCTGAACATGAACTTACTCGGGAAAAGAAATCGGCTTTTTACAACAAAACATTCAGTGCATCGAAAATGTATCTATAGGTAACATTGTTTCCGCTCTAAAGAAAAACAGCCAGGATGTATATAAAGCAACCAAGGTAAGCAAATATTTTGAGGAATTGAAATGAAATAAAATTTAATTGAATAAAGTGCGTTTTGCATTTCGCCCTTGGAAGCGTTAAAATTGCAATCTAAGAAATATTATGATAAAACGAAAACAAAATTCTTGATCGTTCAGATAAGTTACTTTCGTGGATAAGAAAAAAAAAGTATTTTATCTTTGCTTAGAGCCGAGTTGTCATGTAAATTTGCCAGAAATTATAGGAGATTGATGTTTTTGTTATAGTTTTGAAAACGAAATGTACAAATTAAATATTTTGGTGTTTGATCTTTAATGTAAATCATGCACAAATTGAGATTTTACGTCAGCAACGGATTGTTGATTTGAAAGGTAGGTTATTAGTAACAAACGTTCTTTAAAAAAAGAGAGGAATTTTTACAAGAATGGCAGAGTCATTTGGTTGCCGATGGTGATTGACAATGCTCATCACACTGGAAAGATTTTAAACATCTTTTTATCATTTATTGTAAAATACTATTTGTAACTGTATGTACCTTTCCTGTAAACTGAACACGAATATTGAAGCTTGTCAGTTATGTAGTCGTTTGCTAGTCGCAAACGAATTGTACGTTTGCAATTAGACCTAAATGCGCAAGTTTTAGGACAGGTATTCACTGTTCATTCATTTGTATGCTGTAGTGACAAGGCGTGCGTAAAGGTGCGTTCCGCCAGGCTATTTGCGAGTGTTATTCCGAAAATATATCCGTCTCTTAAATGCTATTTTTCTAGCAATACATAGTAAATCACTTTTGAATGAGACATCGACCGAAAAAAAAAATCGCCCCATGTTTAGTGATTGAATTATTACTTTTCGAATAATTGGATTCCGTTCTCTCGGAGTAGACTGGTTCCCGCCCCACAATCAGTATCAATAGTATACTGACCTGGAACCAGTCTGTTGGCAAAGCGGATCTGTTTGTGCAAAAAAATCAAAAACCCTTTGCCAGAGGGTTGAAGAGGCCCAAAAAAGGAAGAAGGGAATTGTGTGGACGGAACCTGAAACATACAAGTTAAAAAAAATTATCAGTAGAAAAAAAGGTAATTTGTTGATGCACGGCGAATGCAACTTGAATGTATGATCGAATACCAATTTTGAAAATGTTATTTCTGGTAATGATCCACTGGATTTTCAGGTGTTTCTGACGATGACTAGAGCAGGCTAGTCGAAACGTTGAGACCAAAGACAAATTCGTTTAGAACTTAAAGCAGGACTGTTCTTATCAGAACAAAAAACTACTTAGCAAAGTTGATAATAAGCAGGACAAGTTCTTTTCAGAACTAATATCTTCTTAGCAGTAGTTATTACCACATGGTGTTACCGCAAACCGAAACGATACCGATACCCCACCATGCAAAGCCTCAAATCTTATATCAGGTGTTTCTGAGTTTAAAAGTTGGACGATAATAGACATTGTGAATCAGTGTTGACTACATTTGAATCACGTTTGTTAAGACAAAAAGTCACACACTTTAAGTATCAGTAAAGGGTTCGTAGGCGCCTGTGGTTTTGAAAACTGATTTGAAATTAAATTTGGAAGTAATATAGCACGTCTGGACAAGTGCAAACCACATTTGGAACATTTCAAATCGTATGGGTGTTAAAATCGACATCTAATTATTACTACATATAACGTCAGGCTCAAAAACCCTTGATCTGTAAACTTTGTACCTTCGTGAAAATGTAGTGCATAATAAAATAATATTTTGGTGTTGTACTTAAAAAACGTGAAGATTTCACAAAATCTTGTTATTTTTAGGCAACTCAAGTGACCTAAGGTGATCTATGGGGAACGGGAAGGGCGTGGTCAGATGACCTGTCTATGTGATGCGATGTACCGTCATGCAGAGATCAAAATGAAATACGGACTTTTAAACCACTTTGGAAAAAAAAATAACTGCCTCAGAGAAATGTCCTTCCCCGATAATATTATGAACAGAACATTTTCTCTATCCAATCGGCGTCAAGTTTGTGAGAAGGCACTTCATGGCATATCAACTATTGAAAATGGCACTTCAAATATGCTAGCAGTTGTCACATCTGCCGCACCATCGTTTACACATATACAATATTATTAACACCGGAGGGCGATTTCTTCTAAGGGTTGGGGGGGGGGGGCACGGACTATTAACTTGGAAAACCTAAAAGCGCGGGGACAGCCTGACTATAGGGGGCGCGGTTGAAACACACATATATGCGCATATAAATGATGTGCACATGTGTCCTCGAAGTATGTGAATTTACTTAAAATGGGTGTTGGAATATCAGTAATTTACTGGTATTACACAGCATAAATAATATTTTTTTATCAATTTTAAGTTCCTTTGGCAAACAATAAAATATGGACTACAAAAAATTAAGGGGTCCCCCCCAAGTATTATTGCAGGGACATCTTCCCTTTACACTCTAAAAAGTGCCTGGTCAGATTGACCCGGAATCCGGGCTATATTGGGTCAAATACCTTTCGGTGCCAAAGTGACACTTTTTCGGGTCAAAATGACACAATGACCGAGTAAAGTGTTATGTTTGATACCGAAAATCATGATCATCAGACCACGTAGAACTCGGATTCTGGATCAAATCCAACCAGCGACTTTTTGCACTACGATTATCCCATCCCATTTGGACCCTCCAGGATCGCCGTCCATTATTACAGCGCCCCCTAGGGACTCATTAGTGTGCTGCCAACAATAGAGGGCGTTCGACGACTGGACCAAAATCGCATCTTTAACCCGAAGTATAAGCAACAAGCATTTCTTCAACCGACAGAGGGCGGAAGACTGCGTGCCTGCCGTCTGCATTTAGGCAACCCTGTCATATTTGCGCCTCAATTTTATCCGATAAGTCTGCTTACAGTCTGAGAAATAATTTTGAATCAAACAAAAACCAGAATGAATTTATTAACCTGTGGGAGAGGGCCAAAAGGCGGTGTCTATTGCAACTACCTTTTATAAATAATTCTAATCTCAAATGTTCGTGTCGCTTTCGTCTTAACAAGAATGCCTTTTTTTCTAATGTCCTTTTCGTAACCAAAAAGATAAATTGCGCAAAAGTGTGGATATATACATCACACAAATTTTGAACAATTAAAGACTTGCCACCATATGTGTCCTGCAATTTGCCACCTAGTCCTCATACTTATTAAATTCCAGCTAATGAATGATACATGTCTTCCCCAATGCCCTCAGTTGTGGTAAATTCAACAACAATGCGGTACAATTAATATTACAAGGTCATGACTGAACGCTTTTTGTTACCAGCAAGTAATATCAAGTTCCAGTGCTTGCAACCTATACTTTACGCTTATAAAAATTGGATACTTAAATGTGGATTGTTGATTAAAACTAGCCAACAAAAGTGTTGTCAAGAAGTGCTAGACTGCTTCCAAATTCAATTTCAAATCAGTTTGGAAGAATTCAAGACTTGCCACCAAAAAATTAATATGAGTCTAGCAATTTGCCATCTAGTCCTCATACTTATTAAATTCTAGCTTATGAATGCCTCCAACAGCCCGTGTCTTCCCCAGTGCTCTCAGCTGTGGTAAATTCAAAAGCAATGCGGTACAATTAAAACTACAAGGTCATGACTGAACGCTTTTTGTTGCCAGCAAGTAATATCAAATATCTCGCGTGCAACCTAGTTCCCACTCCACACTTATTAATATGGCTACTTATATCTGGATGGTTGATTCAAACTAGTAAACAGAAGTGTTACCATGGAGACTAATGTTCTACTTCCCTGAAAACGCCGAAAACGTGTGACTATAGCAACAAGATCCATTGTGTGCCGCCTTTGATCAATATATGTTGCGTCAAACAACTCAGGGACTTTCTGCCTTGGCCACCAGTAATAATTTCGCATCATTCAACCTCACGTACTGTTCAAACACTGTACTGGGGACAAATCTGATTCTCGTTAAACTCTGTCGTCGTTAAACTCTGCTGTCTCGCTAAAAACCCTGCTGTCATCGTCCTATTCAAACGCATCACCATGTACTTGATTCAAGTTTTTGGTATTGTGGCTATCACTTCAGCGATCAGTGCTAAATTTAGGTCAGGTTCCTGCTACTCTCGGCTCACTGTCGAGTGCTCTTGCCCACCACAGTGGCATCTGTGGGGGAACGAGTGTTATCGCCTCACTCCTTGGGTAGCGCAAACTTGGGATCAGGCCAAGTCGGCTTGCCAAGACATGGGCGGCAAGATGGCCGCTCCTCGCTCGCTCGAGGAAATGAACTTCATGGCTGATATGGCACGAAAGGTTGACAGTAACTACTTCGCCTGGATTGCTTGCACTGACAAGGAGGCTGAAGGAACCTGGGAGTGTGACGGTCAGGAAGATATTGAGCCCTTCCTAGAATGGGATGATGGGCAACCAGATAATACTAATAATCAAGATTGCGGTCAAATGGCGGCTGGACATCATGACAAAATGGATGACGATAACTGTGACAGTACATATCCCCGTTTGGCTTTCTGCATTCGTCGAGCTGCTTGCACTCACGGCCTAATCCAGCTCCTTCACTAATACATCTCTACCGACACCCACGGAAGCGTTCTCAACTCAACCTGCCTCCTCGACCACAGAATCCAGGAGCCTTGTCACCGAACAAGTTTTGCGCCTGTCACTCCTTCAACATCAAGAACATAGAAGAGCTAAAGAAAATAACCCATGTTAACAATAACCCAAGCTAGGGTAACAAGGACATTTTAAAAAGAAATCTGTTTATTTCAGGATGCATCGGCTTGTCGTGAAAAAGGGACGATAACGACGGTGTCTGCAAAGCTGAATTTGAACATGCTGAAATAAAAAGACGTTGTACAACAAAACATTCACTTCATCGAAAATGCATTGTAGCATTGTTTCCGCTCTAGAGCAAAAAAAAGCAACTGAAATGTTTTAGGAAGTTAGCAAGGTAAGCAAATATTTCGTTCTCATTACAATGGAGGTAGGAATTGGATTATAAAAGAATTTAAATGAATAACATGCGTTTTTAATTTCGCTCTTGTAATGTAAACAAAGTAATAAACACTGTGTATTTATGTCCTTTAATTCTCATCAATACTAAACCAAAAGTGTAGAAACTGCGTGATCGCAAACTTAGAAATATGAAAAGAAGGAATGAATAGAACAGGCTCTCAAGCCAGGTCTGCTTGTAAATTCGCTTGAGATTATTTGAGATTAGGTGTACATATATGATGTTCTAAAAACAAAATGTAAACATTATAATATAGGTTTTCCCGGCTATTTTAAAAGATTTTTCATTCTAACTTACCAACTCTACTATTAAATTTCGTCCACAAAAAAATTCCACACGCTTTAAACAAAATCAAATTAGTCATTTACCATTCAATTTTAAAGTTTGGTCACCCTCTTTAGTCACCGGGTCGAGAATATTCGTCATTACAGATCAAATTCGTCTAAGCTGTTGCCGAATGGCAGCATTCACGGATCGAATTCGTCTTACATACATCAATTAAACGAGTTTGATTTCTGAATAACAAGGTTTGGTGTAGACGAGACGAAATCGAATACTCCATCCAGGACGAAAACGTGTGCTCACTGTTTGAATTTGCTTGAACTGAATTTGAAATTGTCCTACAAAAGACGAAATTAAACATTGGAAGTGCACTATATCGATGTTGCTGGACGAATTTGAATATAGTAATCGTTGAATTCGAACGAAAAATGTTTTAAAATAGCCCGGAAAACCTATACTTTATTTGCATACTTTGGTATTGAATTGTTGTTGCTTAATTAACAGAAAGTTTGATGTTACACCGGGAACATACTTTTGATTTGAAAATGTATGTTATGAGTGACTTAACGTTAGCTATCAAATATTTGTCTTTACTAGTATAGTCGATTGATGGCCGTTGTCGATTTATCCCTTTCGATACACCTAAAAGTGTCGTACACCTTTTTCAATTCATTGTGAATTATCTAAATTTACCTAACCTATATGGGTTTATGTAGATGTCCTGTGAATTTAAATAAATATTGAAGCTGAGTAAATGAGTCATTTTGAGGCATCAATGCATTGTACATTGGCGAGTTGAGTTCATCAGGGGCCAGTCTTTAGCGTTGTGGAAACAATCGCGGCGTACACACAACATTGGTGGCTGAACAAAATCGTAGCAAGTTTCAACCAAGTTTCTGACTCTGTAAACGTCTGTAAGTATATTCCTTCTGTATTTTGATACTGGTATTGCAATATCTTCATGTTGGGTTTTGTCTGAATGCATGTTTTGCAGAGACTCGTGTGTATGATAGCACAAAATCCTATACGCTAATTATAGTCTATTAGCGTGTAGACGGTAGTGGGTAATCATAATCAGTCAGAATAACACATGAGTGGGGTTCGATTCCGAACTAATGCTTTTTTAATGACATCTCGATTGATATTTACGTTAATTCACTGACTGTCCTTTCGGGAAAATATTTATTAAATAAAATGCCCAAACTCAGGTTGCTTTTTTAATATTATGATTCGTGATTGGTTTGGTTTGTTAGTGTTACAGAATGTGGATGTCTCAGTGGTTAATTGCAGCCAGAAGTTTATACAGAGCACCATTCCTCTACATAATTGAATGAAGTTTTGGAAGCGCTTCATTGAAAGGAAAGTGATCGATTCCTGGAGCATGAATGTTAGCATTTTTTTAAACATAAAGGTTATTATATTCAGTTTTGACGTTTTGAGCATTGTTAATTAAAATGCAGCCGAAGTTGTTTTTTTTTAAATGTATGTCATTGAGATATATCATTTTTTTTAAGGGGGAGGCTTACAAAGTACCCGCAAAAATTGCTGTTTTTAGGGAAAAATAAGTTTAAATAATGAGAAAGTACACTTTGAAGAAAAAAAAATAGAAAACAAAGATTTGAAAATTATGAGAGTCTACATGTACGTTTATCGTTCTGTTTCAGTGTAACTTGAACTTGTGAGGCTTGTTTGAACAAAAAACCTGTTTTGTCCACGGATTTTGTTTCTCGATTTTTTACAGATAAGAATAAAAAAATAATGGAATAAAAGTACACCTTTACAATGAATTCGTTCAAGAATTATTACTAGGAGGTATACACAATGTATTCAACGAGTTTCTATGCAGCCCGTATATATTGGAATTCATTTTCGAATTTCCTTCACTATAACATCGTTTTAATTTGTAAGAGCTTATTAATCTCTAATAACAATAATAATAATATTATACAAATAACGAATGTTTGTGAGTGCGATGGTAAGAATAATTTCATGAGGTGACAGATTGAATGTTCTATTCCACGAGGCGAAGCCGAGTGGAATAGAACATTCAATCTGTCACCGAATGAAATTATTCTTTCCATCGCACGAACTTAAAACATTCGTTATTTGTTTTATACAACACCTGAATAAATTCTCGTCATTTGATTGGTAAATTATAAACTACAATTTATTTTGATTTTAAAGATGTTGAACTACCCCTTCACGAAAATGTTTGAACCCAACGCTGTAGCGCTGGCTCTTTGGAACAATACGCGCTACGCTGAACGCGCACACCAGCATGCATTTTGCACGCAAATACCGCGTCATGGAACAAGCGCAAAGTGAAACGGTATAACGCATGGGTATAACGCATGGTTGCACCGTGCATTATACCGAATAATAATATGTCACGTGATCTACAATTCACCAATCAGATGACGGGGATTTATTCAGGTGCTGTATAAAAAAAAATAACAGATTGCAACGAACCTCCATAAGGACTTAACGTGAAGAGGTGCGCGCGCGCATGCGCATATGACATAAGTCACTATCAGCCACAGAGAAATTGAAATTGTTCGTTTTACGAAGTGACCTATCTGGATAGGTCGCCGTTTGCGCGCATGAAAAATGAAATTAAATTTTCACGAAGTGACCTATCTAGATAGGTCGCCGTTCGTGCGCATTAAATATGAACATGAAATTTTCACGAAGCGACTTATGGATTTGGCGCCTATTTTTTACCTGGTTATGATGAGTTTTTGCCTTAGAAACAATTTAAAATCATTATTCAACTATCCATCTTTACTATACATAAAAACCGAGTCAATCAAAATTAGTGTTCTGGGTGAAAGGGTGGATGCAAAATAGGCCCAACTTCAAACGCATTTTTCTTGACATGGCAAAAACTGAGACAGGTCGGATCGTGGCACAATCACCGTGGAGACTAATGGTTTTCTCGTCGTCGTTCTAAATTTTTAACGGACGCTGAAATGTTACCATGGCAACAATATCTCTTGTTAATACCTATATTTTGCGTCGGAGAAAAGCTTATCACTTTCTGCCGCGACCATCACTTTTCATTCGCATCATTCAGATCCTTGCCAAACCATCGTCTGAACGAGTCATCATGTACTTCTTCAAAGTCTTTGGCTTTGTAGCGATAACTTCGGCGATCAATGCTCAATTTGGGTCTGGTACCTGTCATTCACGGCTCACTCTCGAATGCTCTTGCCCACCACAGTGGCAATGGTGGGGAAAGGACTGTTATCGCCTCACTCCAGTGATAGCTCAATCTTGGGATCAGGCTAAGTCGGCTTGCCAAGACATGGGCGGCAAGATGGCCGCTCCTCGCTCGCACGAGGAAATGAACTTTATGACTGATATGGCACGAAAGGTAGACAGCAACTTCTTCGCCTGGATTGCTTGCACTGACAAGGAGGTTGAAGGAACCTGGGAGTGCGACGGTCAGGAAGATATTGAACCCTTCTTAGAATGGGATGATGGGCAACCAGATGATAAAAATAATAATCAAGATTGCTGTCAAATAGCGGCTACATTTAATGACAAAATGGATGACGATGACTGTGACAATATGAGTCCGCGTTTGGCTTTTTGCATTCGCCGAGCTGCTTGCACTTACGGCCTAATCCAGCTCCGTCAATAATGCATCTCTACCAACACCGACGGCCGCGTTCTCCACTCAACCTGCCTCTAGAGTCTTCAAGCACAGCACAGAATAGGAGCCTAGTCACCGAACGTGTTTTGCGCCTGTGACTCGGCCTGCGTCGAGGTACCCGAATGTCACTCCTTCATCGAGAAAATTGAAAATCTGAAGAAAATGTGCCAGGTAAACAATACTGTGCAAGCTCGGGTAACAAGGACATATGTCAAAACAAAACCTGGTTATTTCTGCATGCATCGGAATGTTATACATAAATGGGACAGCAACGGAGATGTCTGCAAACCTGAACTTGAACTTACGGGAAAACATTCACTTTTTAAAACAAAACATCCAGTGCATCCAAAATGTATAGGTAACATTGTTTCCGCTCTAAAGAGAATAAAACAGCCGGGATGTATATGAAGTCATCAATCTAAGCAAGTGTTTTGTTCTCATTAAAAACGAGCAAGGATTTGGTTTAGAATTGAATTTAATTGAAACGTTCGTTTTGCATTTCACTCTTGTAATGTTGTAAACAAACAAATATTTTTCTGTGCCAATATCATTACATTACCAAAAGCGTTGCAACTGCGTTATCGCAACCTTACAATTATTATGACACAATGT